GGTCTGGGCTGCCCGGCTCCCCAACAGTGCCCCCGGTGCACTGAGAGCTCGACCTACATCTTGCTAACAGCAGGATTTTCTGGGATTTTGATCTTTACTTTTGAGTTAGTGCAGCACAAATACAGTTGGTACAAGAAGAGGAGCCAGGAACCTCTCCACTCTGAAAACCACTTGTTCATGTAGCTGCTGCAAGGTCATGTCTACACACGCACCACTGTGCTGAGCAAAACACTCGCTCAAGCACCAAACCCACAGAGAAAATAAGAGCTGTGATGATCATCCTTGGGCTACAGGGGATATCAGTGTCAGCAGCCCTGCAGCTGTCTGCAGACCGCATTGTCCAGCCCACGCTGCTCTGCGCAGATGTTATCCAAGTTTTCTCGTGAAGCTGCAGCGCGCTCCATGGAGCAGCATGGTTTTACTCTTTGTATTTTGCTTCTCTGCCTTTCATATGGGCAATCATAGTCATAGGTGCATTCTTCTGTATTTCTCACTGGTGTAAGAATATGAAATTTTAGCACTCTTGTAATAATGATTTAAAAATCATGTATTTCCAGGTTGTTCACAGAAATCTTGTGTGGGAAGAATGAACCAGAGAAATAAGGTGAAGGGAGGCAACTGTGGCAGGGAATAGCTGAAATAGAGACCGAGTAATTTTCAGCTGTAGTATTTAACTTTAGTGAGAAACGCAAAGGAGTTTTGGCACCAGCTCCAAAGGTTATGCAGTAGTTCCATTAAGCAAGTAGTAATTAGGAAAAAACCTAAAGCACGCACACGTATACTCACATGTTCTCTGGTTGCCACATCAATTCCTAGCAGTGCTAAGGCCTGCAAGGAAATAACAAACATTCAAAACTTGCTTCTGTTTTTTAATTTCCAGTGGAGTTACTCAGTAGCATAAAGGATGAGACAATAATTGATTCAGCATACTGTTTTCTACTCATTTTATAGAAAATGTAACACATGTTATAAAACTTTTTATTGATTTTTTTTTCTGCTTTCTCTGCTTCATAAGCAATGTAAAGAATTATATAGCAGGATGTGTGGAGCAGTAAAGAAATGCACATACTGTACATCTGGGGTTTTAACAGTGCTGCTAAGTATAGTGTGTTGGGAGCACAAATTCTGAACTGAACTTCCAATTTCACTGGAAATTGCACATTTTAAAAAAAAAATCATTCACATTTCATACTAAATGTCGGCTGCCTTCCTCATGCAGGCATTACAGTCCTTTCATGTGTTTTTTGTTGAAACGAACTGTTTCTTTATACTTAAGGGAATACAGGTGCAAAATGTATGTCAAGGTCCTGTAGCAAATACATTTAATAGTACTCTGAATAACTAGTTCAACCTGAACTCTGAATACATGAAGAAATAGTATCAATATTACATTACAGTACTGACTGGAGTCACCATATTATTACTGAAATAAAAAAATTATCTCTCCAACTTTTGAAATGATTGCAGGTCCCGTCTGGACATGCATATCCTCATCTGGAAAAGTTGGCTTCTTAATCCACAAGGGTTTAAATTCAGCTGTTTAGTGACCTGCTGTATTGCTTCCTTTATTTCCCATTGTTGGTTTGCATCCAGCATCTGGGGTTAAGGAAAATAAGAATCAAATACACTAAGAATTCTATTGACTTTTTTTCTGTCAAACTCTCTTCATAAAAAGAGCTGCAAAATTGATATGAAGTTGTAGAAATTCAGGAAATAGAAGTCAAATGAAAAGCTGGAATTGCCATTCTGTCCATTTTATGCTTTTGGCCACACTTAACACTGAGTTGCAATGACTATAGCAATATCCAGACTAGGCTTGAACCAAGCAGATCAGGAGCTGTAGGAAGTAGAGCAGAGTCTTCTGTGGGAATGAGTGTATCTTGGCAGCATATACTTGAGTAAAGCACCCTAAAACATGGACGTGGCTGCCTGAAATATTCAGCAGAAAAGCTTCTTGACAAAAAAAAATGCAGTAGTTTAAATAAGATGAGTTTCTCAAGCAGCACTTCTCTCCCACGCAAGGGAGAATTTTTCTCCCTACGAGAAGTGAAACATCTGAAAATGACACCACAGTTCCTCTGCAAGCTCTTCAGGTGCTTGCCATCCTGTACTCACAGAGTTCTTCGTTCAGCATTTCATGATGTATGGCATCCCATGAAAGCCTCACGCTGCACTGCAGCACCCAGAGTAGGTCGTCAGCTGTGGCGTGTCAGGGAACATATGGGGCAAAGAATCCAGCTCATAGAAGCCAACAGAGTAACATTTCCAAGTCAAAATGTGTGCCTTCCATCTAGTACTCCTTTTCATTCAAATATTTCAGTTTGAAAAACTTCTTTTCCAGTTTATTTTTGGACAAACATAGGTGAAAAAATGTTAACAGGCTCTCCTGTGGAAGCCTCCCTGGATATAAAAGGCACTTTAAATCTTCTAGAAGACAGTCCTAAAAGTGGGTTCCCCTGTAGACTTGAAAGGGAGTTCTGGCACAGAAATACAGGATAAAATTCTTAGTAACACATCTAATTTGGTTATGTCCAATACTGCTCTTTGTTGATATATGTATCAACATTTGTTGCTATCATTATTCAGGACTTGAAGAACAAAGAAAAAAGTATTTGTCAAGAGTATTTGTCATTTGTATATAATGAGAGATATTTTATCTAATGCTTTTAAATGGAAAATAACATAGTATAGTAGCAAAAAGTGATATTCACCATTATTTTGTCTGGGCCAATAATTTCTTGTATAAATTTGCATCTGCAAATATCATCCTGCAGATCTGCACCCACCTTTACTTTGAATGTAGATGTGTATTTGGAACAAGATATAGATAACTTCTGAATGATTAATGAAGCAATAAACTGGAATCCATAAACTAGAATTTACAACTTCAGCATCACTGTCTTACAGAAAGAACTTTCTTATTACTTCTCTTCCCTTGTGAGTAAGCCTCATCCAGCAATGTTTTTTTCATAAATCAATGGAAACACATTTATCTTCACTTGTGATCAGCCCTCAGCTTTGCCATACCATTACTGTTTTCCTGCAATGCAGCATTATGCAGTAGTAGAAGGGAGAAGTGTCTGAGAGAGATACAGAAGCAAAGTCATCAGTACCCGTATCATAGACCTGAAAAAGTAAGACTAGGTCTAAGCCATCTGTTCAAAGCATAAAACACAGAAGAATAACACTGAGCACAAGTGTTTACTATACATTGTCCAGCCTTCTCCCAAGGCTTATCTGCATAACTGCAAGCAAAGTTACATCAATTATACACCTCCAAATAACTCTACCACACTGCATCTAGAATCGTACTAACTTACACATTTTCAGAATAACAATAAGGTTTTAACTTCTTCCTAGGAGGTAGCTGAAAACCATCAGAAAATGAGATCAGATACCTGAATAACATCCAGCTGAACCAAACTCCTCAATCAGCTAACTGTAACGTATGATAAATTTTTCTAATCCAGGTATGAACATCCCATGACTCGGCAACACTATTTCTAGACATACCAAGGTGTATGTTTCCCAGAAGATAAATCTCGACTATATTAACTAAATCTGACACTGATAAACTGTCCAAAGCTTTCACAATATTTTACAGAAAGCCAAGCACATGCAACTTTCTCTGACAGTAAGGATGCTGCTTTATGAAGGAAGTTAAGGACCTCCTGCTCCTAACAATTTCAGAGTATCCCTCAAAGCCGAGGCAACCAGAAGTTCTAGAAGAAACCAGAAATTATCAAACTTTTGAGGTTCATCTTGCCTGTGAAGGATACATCCCTTTTTCTCATCTATGAAGTTACTGCAGGTTAAGGGCACTGTGCTTCTGAATATAGCTATCCAAGCACAGATTTTATGTGTTTTCATTAACACTCTTAATGATCACACTTTTGATTAATTCATGTCACTCTCCTGAGTATCCCTATGTGCATAAGCTCCTTGCTTAAACCAACACAGCTGCACCCATGCAAACTCACTGTTCTACATGATATACGAACATAAAGAGACTTCCGTTTCTACCTTAGTACCTTATTCTCAATACTTACATTCCTTGTGTAGATCCTTGATCACAGTCACGACTGTAACACTCTGCCTTACTGGGAAAATCACTTAAATGGCACCGGGTGTGCTTTTTACGTCCCCAAATGGATCTACAGTGTTACATTTTTACTCAGTCCAGCAAAACTTCTATAGTGTTCAGGAGCAAGCAGTGAGAATTGATCATCATCTGTTAGCATTTCCCCACTTCACACACCATTTAAAATCTTACTATTATTATCTCCTTACTAACCCAACACAAAGAGTTAAATGGTAAAAAGTCACCAATACAGTGCAAGCTGAATGTCTTGACTTGCAGTCCTGGAACACTTGAGAAGATGCTGGCAAGCAACATGCTTCATCTCACATAGTCCCCTTCTCATTCTCTAAGAGACAAAGAATAATGGTTTTCATCAGGTACAGGTCTGTTTAAGCTCACCCCTTTAATTTTTCCCAAGTATGCCATTTTGGAGTATTTCGGCAGAGGTGCAAGCATAAATATCAAATTAGACTGTACAACAACTTCTCCTCACCCTCCAGGTTTCATCATTACAGTTGTCGCTCCAACCTGTCTTAGTCTCACAGGCTGGTGATGTACTCCCAAGTGAGCTACAGCCACCAAAACTGATGAGACAACTCAAGGATTAGGAAGATGGAGAGTACCAAAGTCCAGCTTTGAAGGAAAGATGACTTACCATAAGCTGCTTCGTCTGTTAGCACATCAGTAATATATCTGAAATCCATGCAGAATAGCAATTGTTTAGCATCCTGATTCATGGGTGACATATAAAATAAAAAGGCATAGCATAATAAAACAGTACAATGAAAAAATGATTAAGTAATGCTAGTCACTTGAGGAATGGCAGTTAATTTTTTTTCCTATGTCTCTGAAGCAAGCAGAGAGTTCAGACAGCAGATATTCTAAACCTTCCCCGCAAACCACCTTATCAGCCTCTGTTGCACTGCCAAATGTGTGTGTGCTGAATTTCATGGCTGTGAGGAGTTGATAATAAGCCCTTTTTAGCTTCCTTTTAAACTCTATCCAAGCAAGAGTAAAAAATTAAACAGGAAAGCCAAGTCACACTTTTCAGCTGTCAAATTAAGACAGAGAAGCACCCCTGTTGTCACACCTCCTGCTCTCAGGAAAGGAAAAACCAGGTTATTTTAGAACAGGCTCTTTTAGATCTTAATACTGAACGGAATTCTCCCGAAATGACTGATCACTTCAGCAAACAGATAACACACGAGGCCCACGCATTTGCTAGCAGAAAATGATAGCGTATACAGTTCAATTACTGAGTTTTTAGTTTTCAGCAAGGAATTAATTTTGGGAAAAAGCCCTCAGGAATTAAAAAAATTAAAACAAACCCTCAAATACCCAGACTTAAAGAAAAGCAGCTCCTTGGCCAAATCATAAACAAAGATGTACAGATTAAAGCATAATCTTTAAGAACACGTCTTCCTATTAGCAGCAGACATCAGTTCCTACTGCCAGCTATGATGCTGGAGTCAGACAAGACAAGCTGTACAGCTTCCCTAGAAGAGGGGCTAGTTTCCATCTCTGCATGAGGGTAGACACATGAAGAAGGTATGTTAGGAGGAAGGACATCTCTGAGCAGAAGGTAACACCCACTACCAGGGGAACAGCTTCTGTCTGAAATTACCTGTAAGAGCGTTTTAGTTCGGACACCAACTAAAACGCGTACTCTTCCAATACAGTTAAAAACAATAGGACCCAGTTGCCTTTAGACTGGAAATGTAACAGAATTTCTTTACCATGTCAACTAGTAACTTCTACATAAACTAGAAAAAAAACCAAATTAAGTAACTGGAACCACGTGGATGCCATAAAAGAGAGAGCATTCAGATGCTTTTTTCTTTTAGAGGAAGTGTCACGAAGTGCAATTATGTTTACATTTGGCACACAGAATTAATTATTGATGCCAAAGCAGTGTGGTTCTCAAACCCAGGCAAGAATATTTGACACTTTCCCCTGAAAATCATTAAGGATGGAGTATCGTTCTTAACCTGGTTTTATTATGGAAGCAGTATTGGGAGAGTGATTATTAAAAAAAAAGAAGTGCTTCATACCAGCTATCTGAAATGATGACCTTCCCTCTGGCCCCCTCCCTTGCTGGGAATCATTATCATACAAACTACCCTTTCAACATGCAAGATGTCTCTGTGAATTTTTTGATGCGCCTCTTTTTTGGACTGTATTATGCTCTTGGACTTGGGCAATGCTACGTGAAGGCTCAATTCAACAGAGCAGAAGTGAAAAAAAGAGCGAATGCTGGCAGGTCTGAGCCAGTGGGACTCAACCCAATTTCCCCTGCAAGCTCTACAGTCAAAGCAGTGTGGTGGCATGTTCCAAGCCACATGGTACGTGAGCGTGCACAGCAGCGACTCCAGCCAGTGCTAGCTGCAGCTTTTTGCTTCTTCTCTCCTCTGAAATCAGGTGTGAAAACAGCAAGCATGTCCGACCGTGCCTGTCAGGATACAGCCACAGCAATATTGTACCAGGTATTGTTTGTCCTCCTGCAGCGGTCCCAAGTGCTGGTTCTGGACTAGGAGTCCCCCCATTCCAAGGGTTTTAGGCTTACATGACAAAAGGCCAATTTCTGACTCTTACAACCTAAAGGGTTACCTGCCCTACAGGTGTGAAGAGATCATGACCATGGGTTTGTAAGATTCTGTAATATGCAAGGACATGGAAGCTTTACCCTCTAAATTCCTCTGCTTTATTACAGATTGCCACAAATACCACAAAAATCACCACAAGTGAGTATACTACTACAAAAATCATCACTAGCAAACATACCTATGATTAATAAAATGAATATGAGTGAATATATATCAAGCTATTACAAATTACTACCAGCAATCAATACTATTGTATCAATCAATAGTATGGTATCAATCAATAATAGCATCATTCAGTGTTATAGTACAACCAATAACAGCAGCAGCCAAGTAGCTGTATACCATTACAGATTACTACAGCGTATCGTTAACGAAGCAAAGCTATCAACCATATAATAGCAGATATATTTAGGATAGATTACTTCTATGAAAATATGTAGTATCCATATGAAGCGAATTAGACTGGTTTCAGAAGGAGCCAAACCATCCCAAAAGGTGGGGACAAACAGATCCCAGAGGTGGACCAACCACCCCCAAAAGAGGGGAGGAAGACCAAGCTAGTAAGACAGCAGGCAGAGTCCCACTTTCAAAATGATCTGCATCACAGGTTCTGGTTTCAGCCAGGCACCCCTGGGAGAGCCTAAGAGCTGACAGAAAGTTCATGTGTGATTCAACTGGGAAGTTCTCTGAAAAACAGACTCCATTTTGGATAAAAATTCATAGATTCATAGATTTCTAGGTTGGAAAAGATCTTAGAGATCATCGAGTCCAACCATCCCTAATCCCCATTAAACCATATCTCCAAGTAGATCATCCACCCTATTCTTAAACACATCCAGGCATGGGGACTCAACCACCTCCCTGGGCAGCCGGTTCCAGTGGCT